ACTGAGAGTTTTAAGTTACATAAAATACAAAACAACACCATTAAATTTTTCATCAAATTAAAATAATAAAGCCTCTAGAGGCATTTGAGGCAAGGAATGGGCGATGATGCTTTCCTCCATAATATGACTGGTAAGCAGTTGTTTGATGAGATAACTAACGTTAGCATGACAAGTTATTAACCATTAATCGCCAGGCCTGATTCACAAAAACCTTTAGGCACAGGCTAAACATCAGAAAGAGATTGTGATTGGCTGATGTATCATTACAGGCCTTGTAATTTGACTATTTGTATAAATCGAATTAAAAGTCTTAAAATATCTTATGATTTCTACCCGTATGGCTTATTACTCCTTTTGAAGCTACACTTGCACATTCAATAGAATTATCTCTATTAGTGGCCAACCAAGACTAATAATGATACTTAACAACTTAAAACTAGTAGTAGCAATAAAATCATGCACTTCTTCAGGGATTTAGGTCATTTGGATCTTATTTACTTATTTATGTGTACATTTTTCCTATTTCACCATTATTTGTTTAAGCATATACATAAACTTTTGGAACTTCATTACAGTGGACATTACATAAAATCCCACAATTATTGTCAAAGTTTGGTATATATATTTAAAAATTATTAAGCTTAATTTTTTGCAGCAGTTTTTGTAATTTTTTAAAAAATTACACTGTGTTAGGGCCTATGGTCGGTTAATTTTGACCACAAACAGACAATTTTTTTTCTATTAGACTGATTGTGTTTTTTTTTGTTTGTTTGTTCAGATTGCATATCTGAAAAAGTCACCACGTTTTGAACAACTCCGGAACAAACAAACAAAACTAAAACAAACAAAAAAACAAAGACACAAATTGGTCAAAAATTACAGAAAAAAAATGTAGGGTTAATGAAGACATAGGCTAATGCAAATTAGGCTAATGCAATTAAATTAAACCAGCTGAAATATTCACACATACACTGCCAGTAAAACTACATCTTTGACATATTTACAAAAATTGTGCACTATGAATTGACAAAGCTGTTGGTAGTCTTTCTGTGGAACTCTCAGAAAGAAAAGCTAACATTTCTACTAATCAGAAAATTTGAAAATAGCTAAATATTGGCAAATTTATTGGCTTATCACTAAGCTATATGCCTGAACAAACAGATAAATGTTAAAACATCTAATTTAATAACTAACATGTGAGGATGAAGAACTAGAGTATTGTTAAAGAGGAACTAGACTACTAGCGATGATAGCCGAATCAAACACATATAAAGTGCTAATGTTTCAGACACCACTTCCTCTCAGACTCAAGGACATCCATCATCTCATGTAGGTGACATTTAGAAATCAATCCCAGGCAAAACAGCAACACCACAGCGATATTTAATTCTAGCCTTCCTGGCTCACTTTGCGTGACAAAAGCAGAGCTCAAATCATGCATGTTTGGCCATACTAAATCAATTAAAAGCATGGTAGAAACCCAAATAGCAGCGCAAGGGGAGGGAAGACTGATCCAGTTGAAAGATCAGAGCCCTCACGGTTGTTTGAGGGAAACAGGCTGAGAGCTGCCAGATGAAGACAGGCTGAGACAAAGAACAGGGCACTTTAGAAGACCTCTCTGCAGAGGGGGGATTTAGGACAGGTAAAGTGTGGAAAGTGTGATGTTCTCAGCGGCCTAGAACTACTGCATGTAAATCCGTGATCTACACTCGGAGGGCAAGGAACAGACGTTCTGTTACCGGAGGATTTGTAGAGGCAGAGCGATGGATTCACATTGATGGCAGGAAAAACATCCCGGCAGAGCCGTTTTCCAGAGGTAACAGACAGGTCACACTCACAAGCTGGTTTATGGTTAGACTCGAAGCTTAATATGTCAATAATCACCGGCTTCCCATTTCAACGGACAACTAGAAGAAGTCTCACTTGGATTCTCGTCCATCTATATTGACTGACAAGTGGATCACAATTCTGTTTGGGGGGAAAGCTTTAATAATCCTTATCGGCAATTGGAATAACTCATAAAAACACCACATTATCCTTCTCCACCCATTTCCCCTACATCAAACCTTCACAGTTCAACACGTCTAGTAACCCCTTGAGACAGACTACAGCTTTTATCAGATGTGTGTTTGTGATGCTGTAACCTTGACAGGGTTCTTCACACGTTCCCTCCCCCCTATTTCCTATTTTTGTTGTGACCCCAGTCCATCCGCCACAAAAAAAAGGACATAAAAATGGATTTAAGGGGTTTCGGTATGCAAAAACATTTATTCCTAGGAGTGGATGCCGGGATGCTCCGATAGTCAAGTTAATTTCCAGGCTAAGTAAATCCGTTCTAAGCTGTGCCGGAGGCTCTGCCTTATTCTGATCGTCCCATAGAGACAGCAGCTCTCAAAGACCAGATCAAGACCATTTAGAAGGATGTTTACATCTTGATCTCATCATATGAAAGCATAAGTCTTGAGTTTTGAGGGGATGTTTATACTTTCTTATCTCGCCACTTGACAGAATGGAACGTGCCTGTGCATGCTTGTTCTGGATCTATCTATCTATCTATCTATCTATCTATCTATCTATCTATCTGTCTTTCTGTCAGCTGAGAGGTGCTACATTACATCACAACTAATGTGGAAAATTAAAGCAGAAATAAGTTGTAAAAAATAAAAATTAGATATAAAAACAGCATTTCTAAATCTAGTAGATTACAATATTTATAAATGTGTCTATGAATAATACAAATAGGCTACAATAATGCAAATACGTTACATATTTAAAAGTTAGTGCAAAAAAGTCAATCTTCTGCCTATCTGTCATCAAATTTTCTTTTTAAAGATGTTTATCAAGTTAATGCCCTTGAACAGCAAAATAGCACTAGATATACAATCTGTTCGCATCAGCTCGCCCGTACATGTTTCTCCATAACAAGTCACAAAAGCCCATAATTCCGTGTATGATCACTCACCTTAGAGAACCACAGGTTCAGTCCGCCCTCATTCAGCCCGCTCTCCGCCCGCTCTCTCCCACAGCAGACCCGCTGACTGAACGATCTCGCTTCAGCGCGATGCTTTGAGTGGAGCATCTCTCTTGTGCTCACCTCTCTCTCTCTGATCCGGGATGCTGCAGGTGCTGTGTGATATGGTGATACCCGCTAACGCTGCCCCCTGCCGGCCAGTGCGGCGAACTGCAATCAGACCACAGTTGCGTATCACGCCGTCACCAAGCGGCTATTGCCATGGCAACAAAGAACGATAAACAATACGGAGAACAAAAACATATTTTGAAGCTAAAGTGATGTTAATGTGTTTTAAAAGCTTAAAGTTGATTAAACTAAATTGAGTTAAAGTAACAAATATTATAAAACATAATGAAAATAACAAACATAAATTCCAAAATTTATTTTATTTACAGCATCAGGTTGAAACAGTAGGTAGCAATTGCCTACGGTGTTAGGCTTAGGCTTACTGAATGCGCCACATTTGAAATGGTCTAAAAATGAACACACAAAATTAGCAAAAAGGAAAAAAAAAAAAAAAAAACTTTTACACATTTTAATTGCTTTTTCTTTTTCAAATAGTAGGCTATACATTATGCAATATTGGGTAAAACTCAGATCATCTTGTTCTAATTTCTTATTTTTACTACTTGCCTCATTACAAATGTACTATACATATTGTATTATTTATTAATATGTGTTTATGCAACTATTCAAGCAGCTGAGCTGAGCATGTATACACATGTATGTATGCAATTTCATTCTAATTTGTAACTACAAAGTTTCAAGAGTTCAAAACAAACTCAGCAACATAATCGCATATGATGAGAAAACACTTTAATCTACTAAAATCTTCGTAACCAAAAACATGAACAACACCTCTACACACATTACTGTTCAGCATTAAAAAGAGCATCATTTATATA